CATTTCTTGCTGGGTATATACTGTGTCTCTATTTTCGTCTAGTTCCCTGCTCTCATGCCTTCAAAGAAAAAAGTCAACACAGGATATGGAGAGTCAGCAAGGATCAGTGGCATATCCAGCGGGGGGGGGGGAGCAACTTTCCCCCATGACAGATTTTTTAATCAAATATTAAATAAAAAAGTTCAAAAGTAGACTCCTAATTACACAAACAGCCTTCATCTGAATCACATGTTGTAAGCACCGTAATTTGCTATGAAATTCAAAATTTTTCGACAAGATACACGGCGTATTTCTGAAATACCTCAGTCATACAAGGGTTTATACTTCCGTAAAGTTATCTCAAAAAGTAAGTAACGTTTTTGTTTTCATTTCAACACAGAGAAAGGAGGAAAACATACATCTTCTTGCCTTGTAGACCTAGTAAGCCTTGTGACGAATTGTGATTCATAAGTCAATCCTCTGTTGTAAAAGCCATGTTTGATTTTAATATTTCAACGATGTTGATATCCCACTTGCAAGTAGCGATGTGAAATCCCTGATCCCATAATAATAATACTAAATGATATACACAGGACCAGCCACGGCCTTCCCAAGTCCTCTTCAAGTTTTGTCTGGTAATTGTGCGTCAACCTCACTGAGCGCAATATTGTTGTCGTTGGGCTTATTCACCCATATGAATGATGCCAGTAATTTTGCAATGATACATCGATCCCTAAAGGGGAATGTTGGTCGCTTTGCTGCCGATTTCATAAAAACGTCAGCCAACAAGGTTACCATGGATCAGCGATACATATGGCCTAATGCTGTCAAGTCCTCGTTCAGCTTTAACAGCGTCTCATTACCCGATGACTCAGCGTCCTCTTTTATAATTAAATCTCTGGCGGTCGGTAGATGATTTCTTGAAAAAAAATCTGGGTTCTCTATGGGGTTACGCCTATCGGTAGAAGGGTTGATCCAGCTACTTTTGGCATCATGTACTTCGTCATCTGGTGTCGGAAGTCAAGGTTTCGCCGATAAAACGTGTAGTGTACACCGTTCCCTAACATCATCTGCCGTTACATTTCGTTGACATCAAGGCGACAAGTAGTTCTCTGCAATGCTGCTACATTTTCAAGAACAACTGGACAGCAGCCATGGTTTTGTTTCCAGGAGCGAACTGGACATGGTGGCGCTTCGATGGGATCTCGACCGGGTCATCCGCTATCAGGAGCGCCTCGTAGATGACATCAGGCAGAAGCAAACGGAGGTAGACGACAGACTGACCTCCATCTCGCAGTCCGTCAAGTCTGCAGCGGACGTTTGCTTGGAGGATACATCGCTGGGTACTTTGGAGGCCGAGTTGGCGAGAGAACGATTCTTGAGCAATTCTTCCCAGGGTTGAGGAAGTAACTACATGCATATTGCATCATACATCCTAACTGCATGCAGACAAACATCCGCTGATTTATATGTAGCCACAATTGTAACAATTGTATCAATGTGAGGCAATACCTTCCTTCCCCATTAATGGGACTAGGCATGTGGGTATTTTGTAGTTTGGGGCGATTCTCATTTTGATACCCTTAATCAACAACAGAGAGATTTCCAACAAAAATTCAAATATTCTTCACACTGAATGATCATCAGTGAACGATCGGTGGATGAGATTACATGTTGAATGAGTGGCGTCAGGTATTCTTTTCTCAGTCGACTTCTAAATGAACTGGAGATCGTAGTAAATTAAGGCTAGCTTTCTTCCCGAGATGCGTTATTGTTAGGTTTGCATTTATTAGAACAAATATCATCAGTGTTAGAGTTGTTTTGATTTCATACGGAGAGTAACGGAAGTAGTTTTTGTATTCCTTATATTAAAAAACCTGCAGTAACGGACTCTTGGCCGAACTGGTGGTCTCAAAGAACAAAACTTGCCATGAGATTTCATGTTGTATGAAAAACTGTTAGCTTTCATGCTGTGCAACAAATCTTATTTCTGAATTGAATTCTTCCTAAAGGAATCTAATACCACCTGATTTTACAAAGCAATTTAAAATCCTTTTTAAATTGCTTTGGTAACACTCCTGTGGAATAAGAAAAGTGCTCTCCGATATACATGTATATCCTTAAAATGTTGGCGACTAAACGACTTAGAAATACATGTGACGTATACGCACTGTAAGGGGTGCGAGGGCGTTCGAGCGATGATTCCCGTCCCTAGAGATATATCAAATTATATAGCTCTATGTCCTCGCGCTAAAGTAAAAAAAAAGGGACAGACTGCAAAACTACAGACAAGCAAATGAATTAGGTAAAACTGGGCCGTGACCAGAGGGCCGTGACTATGCAAATGCAACTTGACTGAGAGCAACTTGAGCGCATGTGCCATGAAAAATGCGACAATACTATGTTCAACAGTGAAAAGCATACCATGGAAACAAGTCAAGAACTGTGCACAAGCATAAACGCACAAGAACCTAAATGTACTCCGATGAAGACACCAGCAGTGACGAGGAGAGGACACTGGACGTGAACTCTCGCAGCGTTGAAGAGTTTATCAATCAATTCCTACAAAACAAACGGGGAACATGCCTCGATACGTGAACAGACGCTATGTGGAACACAATGGAACAAGTACAGGTCCGAGGGAAGAGTCCCACCGAATGGAGAATGGCAGAGACCGTGCTAATGAACACGGCAAACTGAATGGGATAGGCTATATGTAAGTAGGATTGAGAGTTGGTCGAGTTTACCCTTCCGTTACCCTTTGCCGCTTAGTCCTTCCAAAGATTCAGCCTGTAAACACACTGTTGTAGTCGTCCAAAGTATTAAGCGCAATGAAGTTTCCTCTTTTTGAAAGACTTTAAATACAGTCGTTGTTCATCGTAGGATCACTGCTGTGCTGTATTTCACGCTCGTTGTGTTTAAAAACACACCTCTTAGTTTGCCCCACTTGTCCCCATCCATTGCATAGTTAGTGTCGCCATGGAGAATTGCCCAGAATGCAAACTGATGTTGAATTTAATCCAAGTGAGGGATTTTGCATTGGCGTAAAATTTATGCCGAGCATTGGTGGGATGCGCAAAGGTCGGGGATGACATGAATATTTTGAAGGGGGTGTGTGACACGGTATGGCTCTATATAAAGGTCCATATTCATGACATCAATGTGCACCTGTAATAATGTATTCAGAGTGGAATATTTATGGCTTTTTGAAGTTGTTTTCCTTGTGTGAGTGATACTGGATGCACTTTAGTCGTAAGAAGTCTGAAAATTGTTTCACAATCCATTTTAAGTTTTTGCTCAGCACAGGGATGATTCAATAGCCCACCCCCATCAAAAGGTGGAGGGATATATACCCCACACACCCCAGGATTTACGCCCATGTGAGGGAGAAAACTACTCCCCCGATTTTGGGTTAAAATTAGGTTCTGGTTCATTTTGAAACAAATATTGGGGATTGAAATTAACCTTAAGCCGGGAAAAACTGGGTTAAAGTTTAATCCAGGGACGTTTACAGTGTAAAAGCCACGCTAGTTAAGTGTTATTTTTACAATGGGAAGATTTTATACAGGACTTTTCTGCAATCCCCACAATACATTTTTCACCATTGGTAAGTATGCTGGTACACAGATGCCTTGTCAGTGACCTTTCAATCATCTCACGTCAACAAACCTTCCTCGTGGACAATGAAGTCCAACCCATTCGTATTGAAATGTTTTATGATACTTTTGCATATATCTATTGTGATATAGGACTGTAAGCACGTCACTCTGTGGAATCCAGTGCTTTATTGAGTACCGAAGTGTGACTTTCTTTTCACCATAAGAGCACCGGGTTATTTTGGCCAATCTGCCCCGCCCCCAGTAGTCGGCTGTGCCTTGCTAGATTTTTAAACTTACCAAGCATATAACATCACTCCTTATCATTACAACTGTGAAGTTTGAACTCAATCAACACATAGGCTTTTGTTGATACAGTCATTTGAAATTCAAAACTACACGCGTTCCAGCCCTCGTGCATTCAGCACGTCGGCAATAGAAAAAGTATAGATTTTTGGCTGTTCTGTCTCAGAAAAATGCGCACTGCGCAAGAAAGGTAAGTCGGAGTTTCACAAAATTGGTGTCAAAATGACTGCAAAACCTAAAGGCTCAACTCCTTTTATTTTGTATCGTCGTGACGACGATTCTGCCCCAGCTCTTTTAAACCATGTAGGAAGTACAGGGCAAACGGCTGGAGTACGCGCGGGTGTTGGTTCACAGGCTAGTTGTTGAGCTAATGCCTTTTGCACACAAAAGCGCGCCTCCAAGAATTTGCAACACGTTGGCCAATCGCAATGCGCGAAATCTGCCGACCCAACGCGCGTTTGGAAAGGGTTGACAGATTTCACGCGTTATGATTGGCTAACGGGTTGCAAATTCTGACAGGCGCACGATTATGAATCGCCAGTATTGTGCACTTGATCAATGTATTCACTTCGGTATTCTATACCCTCCCCGATTTGGTCCCACCTGCCCCCCCCCACTTCACACTCTGGTACCGTCATTAGAAAGAATTACCAACAACTCTTGGTTAATTTTAACTAAAGTGGGTTCGTGAGTTAATCATACACTAACCCTCCCATCTGGAAAAAGTCAACCTAAGAAAATTTTCATTGTGTAGCCTCCTGGTCTTAGTTAAACGCTGCGTTTAGTCTTGGGAGATTTTTTTTCGGACTTGTGCAGTCCCGCCTTTTAAAACTGCTCAGGCATAAAAACATGTAGG